TTTCTTTTCTCACTCTTAAAAGGAATCTATAATACATGCGCTATACGCACACAAGTAAATAGACAAGCAAGTGTAGCACGCATCCTATTCGCAGGATTTTTTGGAATTTTTTCATCATCAATAAACAAAATTCTTTTAGACGCACAAATAAAGGAATACAACACAAAAATAGCAACAAGACAGAACACATATGACGAAGAACATAACAATGTAGACATAACGCCTACAGCACCACAGTTACCACCCCTACCACATAACCATCCATTATCACTAGTCCCACGAAATTTTCGAAATTTAGCAATAACACATAATCCAAATTTTCGACCAACCATATCACAAAGTCCCATCCAACATATAATGACACACCAATCACAAGATGATAATACTTATGAACAAATTATTGAACAACCCCATACCACCGCTTTTCAGTCTCAAAATAATAATTTTTTTAGCCCACGATGAGCCGACAACTTGGATCCCTACACCGATCAAATTCCCACCCAACCAACCTCACCACTCCAATTACAATAATACCACTTTTTGCTTTCCCGCCACCCGATTTCCCAACCAATAATATAACATCAGGCAAGAATTCAGACACTAATTCACATATCTCAGTTTTATACTCCATCTCACAACTCAATAACCCAGATATTGAAACCCCTGATGAATTTGCCGACTCTGAACCATCTCCATCCAATAATTTTCAAACCAATCCCTCAGTTTTTTCGAAACCCCCTTTTCAACCAATCCCACCAAATAACCCACTCCCATCCATTTCTACACCCTCCTATGCTTCACAAGTTACCCCAACCTACTCTTCACTTCATTCAGACCGATCATCCAATTCTCCAGATACCCCCCAAATCTCCCAAGAACTAGATAATTTTATCACCTTACAACAACGACCCTTCCACCTTGACACCTCAACCATAAACCAGATTTCATCAACCATAGAATCATCAAACCCACCTACCCCTACACCCTCTTCAGCTTATACCGCATCATTAGCACCATCATCCACATCCACCGAATCATCAATTAGCACTAATAGAGCTTACCGCACTTTCAAAAGAAAATTCCCAAACCATCCATTTCCAACAAAACCAGGAACAGCCCGTGAATATATTAATCACCCAAATCATACTAACACGAAAGAAATTTTAGAAATCACCTTACCTTCATTTCCACAGTATACCTTGAATACCCCTAACGACACTAACAACACACGCAGTTTTGTAGATGAACACGTTTTAATGCCTACACTTCAATGGACATCATATTATCATTTTACTAACCCCCTTTGCCTACCTTTATCGAATACTCACATCGATATAGAAAGAAATCAAAATATGCTATATCGACTCACTACACCACTAACACATAGACAATTTACTTATATAGGATATAAAAAGTCACTAAAAACATACACTGCACCCCGAGCTAACGAATATACGCTAGAATATTACGATCATAACATCATCCGAGCTAACCAAGACCAATTTTTAGATGATGATCGCTTCGCTAACCCACAAATCACAGAAAAATTTTTCATCAAAACACCATATGTTTTTACACTCAATATATTTGATCGCAAATTCGACCACAACATTTCTGAAGCACTAACCGACACACAAGCTTACGAAAGTTTTAAAGAAAGATTTCAATTATTTTCACTAACCTTTCATTTCCTTGCACCACATGAACGAGACTTGCACTGCTCACACGACATTATGTTACGCACTAAACAAACCCACACATATACATATTACCGCTTCATACAAAATCACTTTGACCTACACACTCCATCAAGACAACCACACCACCGTTTTCAATTTATTAACTCTAAATACACATCACCATTTTTTCTTAACTTCACATATTGCATCAAAGATACTAACCTTCACGGTATTCTTCGCAATTATGATCCCATAACCCAAATGTATATTTTTTGTCCCATCACAAAGACCTTCAACGCAGAAGAATCCAGACCCTTCCTTATCCCACATGAATTTGTTCAACCTATAGAAATCCCCATATTAGAATTCATCCACAACACTAAATATAACCACAAATTATATAATCTCATCCAAAACACACCTTATGAGTTTGCAGTTGGCACTGAAGAACTAAAAACCATTAAAGCACTTCAATTGCTTTGGCCACTGCTTCAAACTAAAAACATCATTCGCATACTAGCAAAATTACTAACTAATTCCGACATAATACACGACATATTCCCCCACGGTTTTTTCCCCGACGACTAACAGGTAAGTATGACTGATACATATTCTTAACTAATAAATTCAAATTAAAAAACTAACCATTCTTTATTCATGTCTTATTTAGATTTTTAGTCTTCATCCCACGATCACCTGCAAAATACACAAAAGAAAAATAAAAATAGAAAAATTCTTCAAATTGTTCAAAACTCTATTAATATTTTGCACAAGCTAATTTAAATGAAATTCATACCAATGTAGTAAATTAATTTATAAATTGTTTCCCCACAAGCAGTAAATCTAATAATGATGAAAATTTGTAGCTTAATTTTTCCAAAAAACTAGCAGTAAAATTGAAATTCTATGTAGTAAATTGATAAAACGAAAATGCAGTCCTAACCTTTTGATATTTCATTCACTCGCACAAAAATTCTATCCAAACTCGCACAGCTCGCCCACGAAGAATTGTTTAAAATAATGAATTTCAGTTTTAAGCTTTCACACTCAACAACTCTAATACAAGATAACACGTTTCAAACTTTCCTTTAACCCGGTTGGAAAGGAATTATATACTAAACAAAACTAACCAATGCAGCTTACTAAACACCACAGATCATAGAATAACAGCATGACTAAGAAAAGGAAACCAACGGTACCCAAACCGGATTAACCCAGTTTAAAACTGGATAATTTATTCTTTTGAAGACTATTATAAAGTCTAAGAAAGAAATAATAAAACACAAAAAAGTCGAAAGACAAACCCATACCAAAAACAATTTGATTTTTGAAAAAAGGACACAACCAACGAAACATAAGAAAAACCACAATAAACCCAACATAAAACGTTATCACATAACAGGACCTCTCACAAAAACCGCACGAAATCATACTCACACTCCTGGCCTAACCCACCAGAGAGGACGTCCTGAGCATGCTCTATAGCCGGCCTAACCAACCGCGCTACATCCACGCTTTGTGACCACACTTCTATTTTTAATAAGAGGTACTCAAGGGTGAGTAACTCTTCAAAATAACCAAACTAAAACAAAAAGCTTTTGTGAAAACAACTAACCAAAATCATAATTAAAACACCGAACTAATAAAAATTTTATAAAATGTAAATTACACCTTGCAGTATATAGATCAGCATACAACACCAAAGACGAACATCCAAAGACAAAATGACCCCACTACTTTCGAAAAAGAATGGCCAACCACAATCAATATGCCGCCCACAATCACAACTCAAAGGATTTAGAGTACGACTTGACTTCGCAGAAAAGGACTTCATTGAACTAGACCAATGACCACCTCGATGTTCAAGTATACGTACAGATCCGAGTAACCAGGCATCCCCTCCACGCACAATCTCCACGCCATTCCCAGACAAGGTCAACCCAAAAGAAGTTCTCTACATGAAACAGAAAAACCTGTCATAGCCAACCATTCTGAAATCAGATTTGAGTTTGTTGCGAAAACCCAGTCGTTGTCATGAGAAGACACAACGATTGAACCTGGAACTTCTCTAACAAGAGAACCCAGAAGAAATATGATGTTCGCCAAATACCAACGTCCATCATCCATCCTTTGAATTGCAGGAAGATTATTCTAAAAAACTCTGTAAAACCCGGATGGGTGGAACCTGATCTAAACTACATTTTATGATTGGATAAATTAGATATTTTACTACTGTAAAGTATTTAATATTAACCAATCATGATCCATCTAACTAACAACCCACTTATTTGTAAGTGCTGAAATTACTTGTAATTTCAGCACCAGAGAGATTTGAATTTAACTTAGAAATTAGTTGTCTCTCCAAGAGAACTTCAGCAGCTGCAATAAACCAGTATACCCTAGATCTATTGAGCCTAGCAGAGACTAGTTAAACAACCTGAGACTAGATAGTATAAGAGTAAGATTAGGATCGGTATTAGACTAAGAAGTTGCACGAATCTATCCGGCCGAAAATAAGATAGCGTGACGAGCAGACGGTGTACCCTATCCGAAATTACTCTATGAGTTAACCAACTCGGTCATAACTCATTACTTAAACACCCACAAACTACTCATTGACCCGGGCTATGCTGGAAAACTACTTTATATAAACATTTTACATCTTGTAAGAAATATTTGGAAATTTTATAAGACTACTTCATATAAATATTTTACATCTTGTAAGAAATATTAGGAAATTTTATCAATATATTTTCAAAGCCTAACAACGACTATTATAAGAGTCTGACACCAACCTTACAGTTTTTCGAATTTCGAGCTCTAGAAAAACTCAAAATTTTATTAAAGAGCTGGATTCTAGAAGAAATCAAGAGCATTCAAGTTTTGCATTCCCCATCCATGTTTCTTGGGGACGTATCATATATGCAATTCGAGCAAACTTCTGGAAATTGAACTTTTGAAATTCAAAGTTCAGTGAACACTCAAAATTAGTTACATTAATAGTAGGTAACTGGAAAAAAGTTTTCTTCAGACTAATAGATGCTTTACCTGTTTCGAAAGAAAGACTCCGAGATACAATGCCCCAATTTTGTTCTGTTAAATTTAGCTTCCCGTTTTGTTAAGGCAAGAATTTAATAGTCACAAAACGCTTCAATTTTTTGCCACATTCAAAAATGTTTCAACAGTTTTCACTCAATTAAAATATCGAGACTGCCTGAATGAAAAAATGAACATACAAAAAAATTAACATTGAATAAATTTCAAAAAATCATAAAAATTTCACGTATAACTATAGAATTTCATAGTTATCTACCACCAAAGATTAACAATTTTCAATATGAAATCTAAAAATTCAGCAGAATATCGGAAAGTTTACTCAAATTGTATTATATTTTGCAGCCTTTTCCACCAAGTATTTGATAGCACTGAGTTTGTGGGAACATGATCAAGGCATTGAATACAAATATAAACATGTATCCGACACAGAACGTTGCTGCATATATTTGGGCTTGCGGTTTCGATTTACCGAGTGATTCCTTCAGGGATTTGACTTGACTTCGGTCTGAGGGACAGAGAAGAACGAAGAAAGGAATTGCGAGGATGTTGACGAAGCTGGTGGCGAGTACTGACCCAAACACGGCCCATCTATCTTCAAGTGAGTCCCGCAAATACCTATCGTCGTCTGAAGCGGAACACACATCTCAATTTCGATCATAACTTTACACAGTAGCGTACCAAGGGCCCTTTTCAATTCTGGTTGCCAATTTTTTCACAAAATAGGGTCCTTATGCTATTTTGGGAGAGCTCGGAAAGTCAAATTGGTCGACCTAAAAAAATGTCTGCAAAAATTTTTCAAAACTTTTCGAAAAGCCGCCCCCCTTAGATAGCTTTCTGCGCACACCACTGGCTTTACATCAAAAATTTCGAAACTTTTTGTCAATTTTTTTTGGGTCGACCAAACAGATGTTCTGAACACTATAAAGACCCCATTTCTAGCAAAATATCTGCGCAGCAGCCCTATTTTTGAAAAAAACAGGCCATAAAAGGCGTTATTGGGCACTTTTCGAAAGTTTTCATCGCGCGCTCCCTTCAAAATTAATATAAATGGCGCTCAAAGCACCTTTAGAAAACTTTAAGGGTTGCGCTGCTCGGTCGAAACTGAATGACATAAAAAATATCAGAAGGGGGACCCTATGGTTTGTAAGGGGGTCGAATCCCTGAAAGGAGGCGAAGGGAGCCCCTCACCCCCAATACCCGCCGTTTCATCGCTCCCCTAAATTCGTTACCTGATATAGCGGGATATATAAAAAAAATAGCCTTCGTAGAAAATTCGATTTTTTGAATATTGCCTTTGAAACTTTATATTGATTTTTTAAAAACAATTTAACGTTGGTTTCTAATATAGCTTTGTTTCGACAGTTCGCACATCTCACTCGAAAAAAGCCGATTATTTATCTTTTTAAACAGAAGCTGCCGGTTCTGCTGAAAATTCATGAAAACTGTGACAGAAAATAGAAAATCCAAAAACTTTTACTTCGAACACATTTTTTACTTTGGTTTCGTTTGGCTGTGATTGGTCGAAGACTCTTTTTGTTCGTATATTCGTCGATTTTCGAATTTCTGATGTAAGATAATTTTTACCCTCAATATTTGGTTAACGGTACAGGAATGATAAGACACGACAAAAAGTTTATTTTCACCTGCGATTGAACCAGAAATGCCAAAGCTAAGTTAATATCGGGGTTTCGTTAATACTCAACAACTTGCAGAGAACCACATTTTTTTCAGTTTTCATTCCAGACTAGGAATTTAGGTTATAGTGGCTCTCAAAATACAATTCAGATCGCTTAGGGTTTTTTGTGTCCAATACGGACAAACTTGGGAAGTTTTTGGACTCACCATTAACTTGGAATGGGGCTGATATGATGTTGCCGATGATGACACTAAAGCAGGCACTGATGGTCCAGTTGGTCATCAACATGCCAAATGTGAGAGCCTCCAGACCCTTCTCCGACACCTGGATAAAAATATATAACCTCCAGCTAGTGTCCAATTCAAACTGAAACTTCCAATTGCTCCGCTAGCCAAAATGTTGGTTCTTCTTTGCAAAAAAAAATAATTTATTCAAAAACCTGAAAACCTTGATCTACAAAATCAAAAAAATAAAAATAAAAATTTGGCTTCCATTTTTTTACAGGTCTGAATAGAGGTCTGAATAACAAAATCTGATCAAAGAAATCATGTTTCAAAATTTTTGGTACCATGTATTGAATAAACAAACTTTTTTTTCTGTCCTTTTTTAAACCTGTTTTAATTTTTTTGTTTATATGTACGTAGTACAAGGCTTTTTATGCGCATGCTTATCGCATCAACTGAAATAGGGATGATGTGTCAGAACCCACGTCGTTCCTTCATACTGATACTTCTATATCTCATAACCCAATATCTTTAGCATGGCAGGGAAATGATCACTTAGTTGTTCAAACCTCAGCTGCCAATTGTAGCATGATGAATGCACAGGCGGCCTGGGCGACACTGGTGAGGAGATCTTCTGAGAAGTAGAAGTACTGGGACCTCACCCAATCGAAAATAGTCAGACCCTCAACCACCACACTAACGCCCACGATCATCAGCTGTAGAACAAAAGTGTAGTTGAAAAAAAAGTAGATGATGATACGAATTTCAATCAATGGTTTAACTTAACTAAGCCAACAGAGCGTGGAAAAAAAAATTCTCACGAAAAATCGTTGCCAAGATAAAAGAACAAAAGCGCACTGTGATGAAAAGACTGCTCGTATCAGGACGAACCCATGAATGTTCCGACTGCCTAATAAAGTCTATGCAGTAGAGTTCGACTTAAAACAAATTGATGAATTTTTCAACAAAAATGACATCGAAAAATTCAAACTCTTTCTCAAAAATATCTCCGCACACGTTAGCTGAAGTACAGACTAATATGTTCGGACTGGCTTTTCAATTAAAAGTGGGATTGTAAAGTCTTAGGTGAAAAATAGATGAAATATCAAAAAGTTGAAAAAAAATTTAATTGTTTATTGGATAATTTTTTTTGAGAACCATCTCCCACAAACTTTGTTTAGAGCAAAGTGATATAACTTGCATAACATAGTATCAAAAAGACCAAATATCATGCCTCATTATTCTGACTTTCGTAACAAAAGTAACGGAATATTTTACGGGTGGGTTTTTTTTCTTCAGACAAATCTTGACTTTTATCTCACCATTTTTGACGGTATTTTTAAATTATCATTCGAAAACTATTGTTGTCTTGAGCCTAATTTTGAAAAAAATATTTCACCTGGGATCTTTTTTTGTAAAATTATTGGGGTTTAAATATTGCCATTTTGACTAATTTGGGACAATTAACCCGCGATATATTTCGCGTTATTAAAGCGTAAGCGGAGGTTTATTCCGTCTTAGAAATTGTTCCAAATTGGTTGAAAGAACCTCATTTGCCATAATTGATTTGTTAAAAGGAGCAAAATCTATCACTTTGTGTTTAATATGACGTGTGGGGGGATGTTTTTACAAACAATCTCAAATAAAAAAAATTATTTTATTTTATTCCAAATAAAACTTGCATGTTATTACTGCTCCATAGACCTTAAAAAGCAGTCGGAACATTCAGAGATTCGCCCTGTTACGAGCAGTCCTAATTCATTTTGGAACGATATCTAAGACGAAAAAAAATCTCCGCTTTCGCGTTACTAGCTTCAAAATTATTGCGCCTAAATTGTCCCAAATTGGCCAAGCTGGCAACTGATAAACCCACATTACTTTAAAAAAAATGTTCTCAGGTGATATATCAACAATATATTTTGAACTATACGAAAATAATTCAAAAACTTACTGTTAAAGTGTCGACTTTTGTCTGGAGAAAAGAGTACCCCGACTATAAATGTTCCGTCACTTTCTTCGCAAGTCGGAACAATTATCTAATATACCACAACATTAATGTTGCGCCGCGTGAAGTTGGTCTCAACTATTGTTCTGATTTTTGTTTTCAATCTCAGAGGCAGTAAAGAAATAGTTTATGCTCAGGGTGTTTTTTTCTCCGGACAAAACTTGAATTTTATACGTGCCCTTTTTAATGGGATGAAGGTCTTAAGGAGTGCACTCTTAAGATAGTTAATACGTACTTAATAAAACCGTTTCAAAAACTTAATGATTTTTTTAAAAAAGCTTTTGTGCAAAATTTGAATGAAACCAGCTCAAAACCATTACTTTTTAACTCTTTCAAAAAAATTGCTTCTTTCATGGTGAGTTCCTGAATATGAATTTTTCTTATCAGTTGCAGTGAGTTCTGGCAAGACATTTATATTTGACTCTTTGTATTCACTTTGCAAAAGTTAGTCCCGAACGCATTGTCAAAATTAAAGTAAGTTTTAAAGTTAATCAATGAATTAAAAAAAAGGTTTTGCATGTGATTTATGCTTAATAAATGTTTATGCTCGAGTCAGAAAATTTATTTTTGCGAGTTTTTTTATACCATCTAAATGCTAATAATTCTAGGATCTCAACTATTCAGATCTATTTTGCTTGCTATCTTTTTTCGACAAACTCGAAAAATACCAATGTATGCGCGCTATCATTTTTCTGTTAACGCGTTAATAATTTTTATTAAAAGTTGTTCGAAACTGATTTTAGACACGCTAATTGGCTTAAGTTTTGCGACACCAGCCTTTATTACTTTACTTTACGTTGGGGTAAAAAAAAAGATTATTTGAGAGGTGGTAAAGAAGTGAATTGCGTTGGGGTAAAAACTTTGCGTTGGGGTAAAAAAATGATTATTTGAGAAGTGGTAAAGAAGTGAATTGAAAAAGCAAAAATTTACATACACATTTTAAGATTAGTTTGAACAATAAAAGCTCCGCCTTGATTCAAATGTTTGAAACGGGTTCGAGATATTTTTGATCTTTGTCTCTGCAAATAGTTTCATAAAAATGGATTTTGATGCAAACAACCGGAATTGAAAGCAACAAAAAAACTGAAAACTCTATGTAAAACTATTAACAGTTTTGCCACCATGGTACTAAAGCCTAAGTTTAGGCTTCTACTAACTGAGGTTGGTTTCTACTAACTATAAAGGTTCCGTCACTTTCTTCGAAAGTCGGAACAAGTATCTAATATACCACAACATTAATTTTGCGCCGCGTGAAGTTGGTCTCAACTATTGTTCTGATTTTTGTTTTCACTCTCAGAGGCAGTAATGAAATAGTTTATGCTCAGGGTGTTTTTTTCTCCGGACAAAACTTGAATTTTATACGTGCCCTTTTTAATGGGATGAAGGTCTTAAGGAGTGCACTCTTAAGATAGTTAATACGTACTTAATAAAACCGTTTCAAAAACTTAACGATTTTTTAAAAAAAGCTTTTGTGCAAAATTTGAATGAAACCAGCTCAAAAACCATTATTTTTTAACTCATTCAAAAAAATTGCTTCTTTCATGGTGAGTTCCTGAATATGAATTTTGCTTATCAGTTGCAGTGAGTTCTGGCAAGACATTTATATTTGACTTTTTGTATTTACTTTGCAAAATTTAGTCCCGAACGCATTGTCAAAAATAAAGTAAGTTTTGAAGTTAATCAATGAATTAAGAAAAAAGTTTTGCATTTGATTTATGCTTAATAAATGTATACGATCGAGTCAGAAAATTTATTTTTGCCAGTTTTTTTTATACCATCTAAATGCTAATAATTCTAGGAACTCAACTATTCAGATCTATTTTGCTTGCTATCTTTTTTCGACAAACTCGAAAAATGCCAATGTATGCGCGCTATCATTTTTCTGTTAACGCGTTAATAATTTTTATTAAAAGTTGTTCGAAACTGATTTTAGACACGCTAATTGGCTTAAGTTTTGCGACACCAGCCTTTATTACTTTACTTTGCGTTGGGGTAAAAAAAGATTATTTGAGAGGTGGTAAAGAAGTGAATTGCGTTGGGGTAAAAACTTTGCGTTGGGGTAAAAAAATGATTATTTGAGAAGTGGTAAAGAAGTGAACTGAAAAAGCAAAAATTTACATACACATTTTAAGATTATTTTGAACAATAAATGCTCCGCCTTGATTCAAATGTTTGAAACGGGTTCGAGTTATTTTTGATCTTTGTCTCTTCAAATAGTTTCATAAAAATGGATTTTGATGCAAACAACCGGAATTGAAAGCAATAAAAAAAATTGAAAACTCTCTATGTAAACCTATTAACAGTTTCGCCACCATGGTACTAAAGCCTAAAGTTAGGCTTCTACTAACTGAGGTTGATTTAAATTTCTTCAAACTTTAAATGCATTTTTCAAGGAAGGGATTTATTCGAAGATTTATCAGATCAGATGAGACGCAAGAACAAAAAAGATCGAAGAGAACTGCCTTATAGCAGAATCCGCTTCAACTCACAAAATAAACAGTTTGGCCTTTTATTACTTGTTGATAAAGTTAATGCCTGTTTTCTGCAAGCCTATGCTTAAAATAAGTCCAACAAAACTCATTCAAAAAATTTGAAATTTGTTTAGAAGATACCGAAAACTAAATCGAACAACGTCTCTGAGTAGACCTTGAACAAACTTACATCAAGCTTAATTTACCTTGGTGTATGAGTACAACTTTTTCCAGCTAACGTGCAGAAACCACCTTTGAAGTACATACATCCCCACTATGACCAGCAAGGCCACGGCCACTCCAATCATGGATCCGTAGAATGGTTCGACCTAGAGGTTTTTACACTTTAGACTGTGTGATACAAACATATCATCATCATTTCAAAAATTCAAAAATGCTTGCCCATAGAGTTGCTCAAAGCTAGTAATTTACGGAAGATAAGTTTGGGCGATCATTTGTAGCATGCGACAATTCATACTAAGGATAGTCGGTTGCTGTGCACTTCATAAGTCCAAAAAAAAAATTTCTTCAATTTAATTTTTTTTGCACAAGATGCGATGAAAAAACTATATAAACGCGTAGAAAATTAGTAAATTAGGCATAATTGACAACAGTTGTGCCAAAAAATGAATAACAAACGATAAATGAAAAAAAATATTTAAAAACAATTTGAAAAGTTTTTTGCGCAATTATTTCCAAAACTTATCAGAAAACATTTTTTTGGGACAAGGAAACGATAAACGTAGCATTCAAAACTATTTTTGCTTTTATCAAAATTAAGTTTTAATATGACGGACTTTACTCGTTCGAAATTAAACTAAAACTCAAATTTTTCAAACCGTTTTTTGTACACACTGGGACAAATTTTTGAAAGCTTTAATGTCATTTGAATCTCAGCTGAAATGGCTTTAATATAACATATACTACTCAATCCACACTGATGAATAATTGTGGTACCTGATTTTCCCTTAAAACACACCCGAATACAAAGTTTCTCCTCATTATCAATGGTCAAGTAGAGACCGCTTTAACCGCTTGGCTCCCTCAGTGCGTTTGACGCTTAACCACGAATTACACGAATTGCCACACAATGATAAGTGCCGCATATCACGAGTTGTGGCTTGTTGCAACTGTTCCCTCACAGAAAAATAACTTTCCCTAGTCATATTTGTGTCTAAGAATAATTGCAAGTAAGTTCAAGTTCAACCTTTGCCCAGTTCTTCCTGATCTTGACGTTGGCGGATGTCTTGGCATTGTAGAGAGATGGCACTAGGATGAACAACAACGCACAACGCTGGAACACCCGGTAGTGCATGAAACTCCAGAATTTATGCACCTGAAATTAGACAATTAACTTTACCAATACCCTTTTGAAAGGAGGTATAAGAGTAGTATTTACTAGGGTCAGGCTTATCTATAGAAACTACAGAAAAAAAAAAATTGTTGCCGTCCATATTTCATACCAAAGAATCGTTGAGGCATTTATGTAGTTGCATTTTGAACCTACTAGTAATCAGGGGGGGATCTAGGAGGGGGGGGGGGGTGGGTTGGCTTTTCAAAAAAAAAATTTCGAAAATTTTGACGACCTTTTTTTTTAGGTCGATCAAATTGATTTTTCGAGCTCTTCCAAAGCACTGTTTTGCCCCTATTTTGGCTAAATTTTCGGCCCGTTTTTGGGCACTTTTTGAAAAATTTTGACAAAAAAATTTCGTTTTTTTGGCGCGCTCCCCCTCAAAGTTTGTATATATTGGCGCCAAAGGCGCCTTTAGAAAAATTTTTGGGGTCGGTCGGCCACAAATGGATTTCTGAAAAAGTATCAAAATGGGACCCTTTGGGTCGGCAGGGGGTCGAATCCCTGAGGGGGGGGGGGGGGGGCGTCCGCCCCCCCTAAATCCACCCCTCCTAGTAATACTGATTTTCTTAAACTCGAGACTATGTGTATTTCGAGCATGAGCAGTTTTTTTGATAAATTGGATCATTCAAACGAATTGGATTTTTTGAACGAGATCCTCTTCCAAACATGCTTTTTTCAGGAGACACAAAATAGAGTTTTACTTTTAATTTGAAAGCAACAGGTTATATTCATGCAGATTTTTATATTCAAATTCCGGGCAACATTACGAGTATTTTGTGTATTTTTTGTGTAATTGTATAGTTTGTCAATTGTGAGCGGATTTCGCAACAGGCTGAAAACCGATTGTCGCAAAATCCAGAACAAGACGATTTTTGATGGTTTGCTGTTTTGGATTCTACGAAGAAATAAGCAAAACGCTAAATTGCTCAGAATCGCTAAAAAAGCAGCATACTTTGCGGAATCCAAAAAAAGTTTGCGAAATCCAGAGCAGTTTGCGGAATCCACAAGAAAATATGTATTGGATGATTAAAAATGTATGAATATCTTAAAATAGTACCAAATGGGATGTAATCTCTGAGAAAAAAAGGAAACTCCGCTCCCTGCCCCGCCTTCCCCCCCCCCCCCCCCCCCCCCCCCCTAAATCCGCGTCATCAAAATATCAAATTTACTCTCTCACTGTTTCCATTAGGTCCACTTTAATTTTCTTTGTTTCTGTCTCGAAGGTCATGAAGGAGGAGTTGAAGAAACCTAACACTGAGATGCAGAGGAGGATCATGAGTATGTCCCTGAAGGTGAAGTTGAGCGAACAGAACCTGCCACCATATGCGGGGCTAGAGAGAAAAAATTCTTCTACATATTCATAACTTATGTTAAAGAAACTGCTCGTATCAGGGCGAAGCCCTAAATTTTTTAACTGCGTTTTAACTTCTCTGGAGTAGATTAAAACGAAATCATTCTTGAAATTTACAAAAAAAAAAACTGTTAAAAATATTGATGTTTTTATAAACCATCCCCCCACACTTCTTTTACAAAGCAAAACTATCTATTTTCTTTCAAATGATACAAAAATTTCCGTCAAAAAGTGGCACTCAAAAAGGTTGAATTGTGTCGGAAGAAACAAATTCACTCCGAGCATAAATATTCCGTTACTTTCTTCGAAAAAAGGCGGAACAATAATAACTTCAAATATTTTAACTATAGACAATTTTCACTCCTTTTAGCTTCTGTAATTGACATAATCTTTGACATTTTTGAGGCCTAGGCGACTGCCTATACTTACTTATGATTACAGAATTGTTTGTTACGACCAGGTCGTGAAGAAACTGCAAGAAATCATTTGAGTCATTTGCCTCTTCGGCCAATTACATTTGTCTCTTCCAGCAAACCTTATAGCGAGTCAAGCCTATTATTGTTCCGCCGACTTTGAAAAAAGTACGGAATAATTATGCTCGGGGTGTTTTTTATTCCTTTGTTGTCTTCTTTACTAAGTTTTGTGACGGAGCTTCTTATACCACCAGGAAGATATTGTTGTCCTAAGCTCAACTTTAAAAAAAGATTTCACCTGAGATCAATTTTTGTAAAATTACCGGCGTTTGAAAATTGCTATTTTGGTCAATATGAGAAAATTAACGCGTGATATACTGCGTTCCTATAATACTAGTAAGCGACAAGTTAATGTGTTCCTAACTGAAATGAGGTCAGTGATTTAGTCCTTAAAAAATTAGAGACGCTTAACACACACTTTGTATCTTACATAGCATGTGATTTTTAAAAAGAAAAATGAAAATAAAGAAATTGTCAATTAATCAACCAAAACCTTTTTATTTGACGTGAAAGTGCAGTCGAAACCTTCAGGGCCTCGCGAGCAGTCTTTTTTTCTTTTAACGACTTGTTGATCATGGTTTGGATTGAGTGCAAATCTTGAGTGCAATCATTTGATGCGACCGATTAGCTTGCCTCAGTTCATTTTGGAACAATTTTGTTGTGCGGGATAATCCGACGCTTATGATTAAATCGCATAAGACTTTCAGCATCATAAATAAAAACTTCACAGCGCGCACAAAATAATTCAGGGAATGGCCAAATTGGCTTTTTGAGACGCTCAGTATTTTTCAAAAAGTGATCGGAGGCAAAATATTTTTTTACATATAAACTCAAAACCTTCATTGGGGTAAGAAGAATTTTCGTTGAAAATGTTTACTTCAATCGGGGAAAAGCGACTGAATAAAAAACCCCAAGAATGAAAATTTCGCATTTTTTTGGTAAGTCGGAACAATTACGTCTCTCAAAAATTGAATCAGTACAGAGCTAACACTCCCTCATAACGTTAAGTAACATTGTATTAACTATTTTATGAAATTGCTTTCTGTCAGCGCCATTCCCCTCCCCCTCCCACTCCCAGATTCGAATGAAGAAAACAGTTGAAGTTTTCTGTTATTCTTTTTTGCAAAGACAAACGTGGTTGTGAAGTTATGTGCTACTCTCACAGCAACCGCCTATCCTCTGCTAAATGTCATACAGTTGTCGCACAGTTACATTTTTCAACAAATAGCGGCTTCGTAATTTTGATTTCATGGAAGGAAAATACTGAGTTCTTTAACTATTTTCCCCTTTTCTCCCTTTTGGGGAGGTTCGCTACATGTCGGACAACACATACAGAATAATACTGAAATAGTATTGAACAAGTACGCAAAAAATAGTAATAAAACAGTCAATGTTATTCAAAAATCATACCTGGAATCTAATTAATGACAAAGTTTCGTTTTATTGTTGCTAAAGTTCTAACCACAGGCAAGGTATTATTTGTTCCATATGTTTTTGTCCTGCTCGGGTAAGAAGTGCATGCGTACCTGTTGAGTAGAACTCCGATGACCAGAAGCAAGAGGACTCCCCCGAAGGTGTTACACATGGCAGCGAAGATGTTGATCCTGCCCCGGTGTTTAAGAGGCTCTCGCTTCACATAATCCACCACCAGGGCATCTCAAACAGAAAAACTCACCAACGATTGGCTGGAAAACTCAACATCTCAGAAAATTTTATTTAAGCAATGAAGTCATTAGACGAAAGGAAAAGGGTTGAAGAAAAGAAAAGACCTTTCCCGATACATTTTGATTTTCCGAAAATTTTCTTAAAACCTGCAAACTAGCCACAAACTTATACTATTCTGTGAGTCCATTGTTTTTGTGAAATTCATCTTTTTAATAAAAATCATCCTCAAGAACTTTCAGCCATTCGTCCGAGTTTTTATTAAAGTTTTGTTCCAGACCATTCAAATTTGATGCAACGACTGTAGAAAAAGTAGAAATTGCAACCGAGAATTTATTCGAAAGAGAAATTCAATTGTGAAAACGTAAGGAAAGTCACCCGAAGCTAGATCGGTGATTCCGACTCCGAACACGCCCACAGCCATGATGGCCACATAGTACATGCCTGCATTGGGTGCGTCTGGGTTGTTCACTACTGTGTTATCCAGGGTACAATTGGCAACTTGGTAGTAGGGCTCAGGGTAGGGAATGAAAAGGGATATTGTATAGGCCAGAACAGATATCAACCAGCCTAAGACATGAATGATAGAACATAGAGACGTCATTTCTCTATATTACACAAAAAAATTCAGTACAACCATACAAATATGATAGGTGAGACCTTTAAATGTACTTGCGTCGCTTCGGCGGATTAAAACTCGAATTTAGCCCTTTTTCATAAGTCAAAATTGGAGCCAAACGAGAAGACTGAGGACAAAGTTTAACAAGGATAGCCGGTTAGTGTGCAAATAGCACAAAATGAACCGACCACAGTCTAAAAAATATGAAAATGTTTTCTCAAATTGGTGTCGTTTTTTTCGGCATGTCGTGATACAAAACCTGAGCGAAAAAATAGATTTAGGCATATTTGAGAGTCATAGCTAAATAGGTCAATAGGTCATAGTAAAAATCGAATTTAGACATATTTGAGAATCATAGTAGGTCAACAGAATTTTTTAAAAAATTTTAAAGTTTTTGATTCCCAAAAATTGCGCTGGTAAATCAAAATTTTCACGGCTTAATTTAAGCCTAAATAAACTATTGCAACTACAGTCTTCCTTACCAGTTTGCTCGAAATTAGATCAAAAATCTAAAATTTCAAAACGCTTTTTCTCGACCTTTTCTTTAATATGATATATCAGTCAACCCTGTCCGATGGTTATTTGTGGTAGCTGATAAATGAATTAGCTCATTTAAAATTGAAATTGGGCTCATCCATCTTCTTCTGTAACAATTTGTGTGCGCTCAATCTCCGTAAATCAACAAATATGAAGGTTCAAGAAGTTTAAATTAATGAGAGCCTTTATCGGCTAAACTCATCATAACCTCTATCGAGCATAAACATCGTATAATTTCAACCATCAGCTTGTTTTGGTACAAATCGGCGCAAACTAGCCACAAGAACCGGTCGGTAATGTTCTTGAGACAAATTGCTCTTTTTGGCGGTCAGCCTTAATCAAGGCTGAACCGAATTAGAATCAAAAAACAGTTAAACTAGGATATAACACCTTTTTTTATATGGGCATGTGGGGGACTCGAACCTACGTCAACTGTCATGTCACATATATAATCGGCGTTGTGTTACTTTGCCTTAGTCCGCTTGGCCAACTGTGCTAATGGTTGTTACATTTTGGTCCAATCATATTCAAGCTTGTGTTTGGCTTTATATGCATTTATATTCTTCATTTGCGTTGCAACATCCTCTTCCCTGCAGAAGGAAGAACAGGAGCGAGCTTAACGGTCGGTCGAATGACTTCGGTCTGTTTTAAGAGTGAAGTCAGAATGAGTGTGCCACTTGACACACTTATTCAGTGAGGGAACATGTTCGCGAAGCTAACGAGACCAAATCGCGTTAGCATATGACTGCGCTCGCACGTACCTTTTCTTGTGGTCGAAGTGCTCCCCAGGTAAAAGCGAAGGAAAGCTTGTGGCATGTTGTCCCAGCAAAAAGTCGTTTGGGGTTAACGCTTTTAACTCACGTGAATCAGTACTAGCGGGAGTGATTGGCCTCAAATTCAAAGCCTGCTCAACTAAGCAAAGTGTTGTTCCTAACACCTCTTCGGTGAGTCGCCTACTGCCTAAAATATCGTAAAGCACGCGGTTCACGCTTCGGACGAAGCGCTCCCAGGAGCCGTCATGATGGGGTGCGCCTGGCGGGTTAAATTTCCAAGTAACACCTTTGTGTGCAAAAATGGTCGGAGCCATGCCATTCCAGCTCTTGATGCAGGCAAGTAGTTCCTTCTCCGCACCAACGAAGTTCGTGCCGTTATCCGACCAGATCGTGCTTGGTGTACCACGACGCGCAATGAATCGTTCAATGCCCATGACAAAAGAACTAGTGTCCAGAGATGGTACAATCTCAAGGTGTACAGCCCTGGTGGTGAGGCAAGAAAAAAAAATCCCAATCTTTTTTCAGTGATTCTGCAAAGCGGAACGTAAAGCGCTCCAAAGTAATCCACAGCCGTATGATTGAAGAATAGTTGCTTATATTCAAGACGTTTGACAGGTAAATTGGACATAAAATTGCTGAATCGATGAATCGAAGTAGTCGACGCGACCCAAGTATTGCATATTTCATATTTAAAGCGGAGCGCATATAGTCTAAACCTTGATGAAAATGCTTTTGGTGGAGGCTGCGGGCCAGCAAATGAACTAGGGTATGTCGGGTGTTGAGTAATATGGGTGCTTAGCATCAAACTCGGTATTCACTAAGCGCAAAATCCGTCCGGTGGAATGAATGATACCAGCGGGACCGATAAATGGCGAGTATGTGGTAATTTTACTAGTATTCTTAATAGGTTTGCCAGCAATGAGTGTTTTTAACTCAACGGGGAAGGATTTCATTGAGCAAGATGAATCAGTTTGCTTTCCGCAATATCAAGTTCAGTAGGGTCGGTGATTCGTAAGTCTTTATTACGAAAATGCTTATGTGAAGGCAGCATCCTCAACATGAAAGCCACTACTCGTTTATATATTGTAAAGCAACTGAACCTTTCCCAATTGAACCCGTGTTCGGGAGGTTTGATGGATGTGACCACGGTAACGAAGGAAGATGATGTCTCCAAGCAATAATCAACATCACAAGAAGGACCCTTCAAACGAATTTTATTGATTACACGTTCGACGGGTATAAACGGCCAATCAGTAGTCCTGAGAATGCTCGGACCAATAACCCAGATGCTATCCTTGAGGGCTTCCGAAGAAACCCTCCGCGTACCGTTATCAGCTGGTTAATCATCGCTCAGAACATGGTGCCACTCATCAATAGTGGTCGATTCGAGGATTTCGCCGACACGATTAGCGCGAATACAGGTAATTTTTCAGTGGAGTTTAGCCACTGCAAAACTGTTGTACTATCTGTCCACATGTAGACATGGTTAACGCTGACAGTAAGGGCGGTCAGTATATCATCTTTCAGTCGTGTGGCGAGCAGAGCAGCTCGAAGCTCTAGCTTCGGTATAGATAGAGCTTTCATGGGCGCAACGCGAGCTTTACCAAAGGTGAAGGATATTTGAGTTTTTGGCGAACTCGAGAGTCGCGCACGCAAAAATCCAACCGCACAGAAAACGTCCTGCGAGCTATCACCGAACATGTGGAGCTGAATTTGATCCACAGGTTCTGTGAATTAACAACGGGGAGTAGTCAATTGCCCTAAGAGAAGGAGACCGTAGTGCCACTCTAGAAACTTATCTCTTATGTCTTCCGGCAATTCATCGTCCCAACTTTGGCCACTGATTTTCAAAATATCTTTAAGCAAAAGACGGGCTCTAACTGTGTATGGAGCTACTAACCCAACAGGGTCAAACACAGAAGCGACAAAACTCAAGACGGTTCGTTGAGTTATTGCTTTATCGAGAGGACTAGCTAAAAACTAAAAGAGCTAGTTAAAAACCTTGTGAACCTTGTCTAGAGAAGACCCCGCACATGCATTCCTTCATTTTCTTCGAAAGCCAAAACAATGACATTATGACCTAACTGCATTTCGAATCGAACAGTACGTTTGCACTACGAGATACGTCAAACACTAACAAAACTGCTCATATCAAAGCGAAGCCCTGAATGTTCCTACTATCTTTTCAGGTCTATGGAGCAGTAACAAAATGAAACAACTAAATGTAAAAAAACAATTGATTTTTATTTAACTTGAGATTTTTTTGAACTTGAGTACTCTAAAAGTCACTTAGAGTACAAGCTGATAAATTTCGCTCGTAGTAGGATATCAATAATGGCAAAAACCTTCCTTAAATCAATTTGGAACGATTTTTAAGTCGGATTAAATCTCAGCTTACGAGTTAGTATTGCAATATATATCGCGCGTTCTTTATCCCAATTCGGCCAAAATGGCCATCTCAAATCCCCCATTACTTTACGAAAAATGATCAGTAGTGAGTTTTTTTTTCAAATTTAAGCTGAGGACAACAATACCTTTTGAGTGATATTCAAAAATTTCTTCAAAATGGCTATCTTAAAATCGAAATTGGTCCGAAGAAAAGACCTACCCGAGCACAAATATTCCGTTAGTTTCGTTACGAAAGTCGGAACGAGACTGCTCGTATATCAAGGCAAAGCCTTGAAGATTCCAACCGTCTCTTAACTCAGATCGAATAGTTACTGGGAGGCGAAAATATCGAAAACCTATAAATTTTGGACAATATCAAAGTGGGAAATTTGAGTCGTATGAAATTAATACGACCGATCCGATTGGCTAGCCTCAATTCAATTTCGAACGATTTTGTTGTGCGGGATAATTTGCCCCGCATAAATAATTCGCGTTACGTTCTCAGCAATTCGAATAAGTTCTTCAAAGCACGCATAATTTAGTCCTGAACATGGCCAGTTTGACATTTTTCAAACCCCTGAACTTTTCAAAAAACAACTGGAGGTAAAATATCTTTTTGAGTTTGGACTCAGAAAGTCAACATCTTCAATTGTATAAGAAAACTTTGTTGAAAACTATTATTTCGATCGGCGAAAATTGACTGGATAGAAAAAAAACCACACCGAGTTTAAGTATATCGTTTTTTTTTGAAAGTCGGAACAAAAATAACCATTAACTGAACAGTCTTATGCCAAAATCATTTAAATTATAACTGTTTCTCGAATCAAATGCGTGAATGTATGATTTTGAAAATTTTTATTTCGGTTTTTGACAATTTTACTTCAGTTTTTTGGTTTTTCTGTGTTCACTCTTCAAATGTTTCTTTTGTCCATCTAGACTACATTATTAACAAAGAAATCTAATTTAACTAGCGAAATAAAATATCTGAAAAGAATGATTGAGTGCACAAATGATCTCGCAATTAAAATCTGAGAATGGTTTTTGGACGAACTACTTTGTTATTATCATACAAAAAAATAGTGAGCGAAAATTTTCTAGTATCGAAATTGCATAAGTTGAGTTTTTCGTACGATCCGTTTTGGGAAACTCTATGTTCAATTTTTGTGGAAACTAATTCCTTAGTATATGTCCGGTTATACTCGACGCGGCCCAAAATTAGAATTCGAGTTAAAGCTTTAAATACGCTATTTCGACGCCACAAAACGTCATTCAAACCCTATGCCATTAAATTTCTACTGACCTAGAGCCATGTAGTAAATCCTTCCTCTTCCAAAGATTGGCTTCGAATCGCTCAAAAAACCCCAGAAGAACTTCAGACTCCAAAACATCGGCAAAATCGAGGTCAATGCCGCATACATGTGACCAGGAACGTTCAAATAAACCCCAAAAAAGGGGTATAAAGCCACTTTTGTAAAAACAAGTTTACTTGTAAATGCCTGGCCTAGTTTGTCGTAAAAGAGTCCCAACTGCAACGGTTTTCTCAAGTTCACATTTTCGTATAAATTACACTCTAGTTCTTCTCTTTCGACAGCTTCCTCTGGGCCGATTTGTTCCTGGTTTTCAAATATAGCCTCGGATGTCAAGAGGTCTTCAAAATTGTCACTTAGTGGCATTTTTCAAGAAATTTGGGTAATTTTTTTCTTTGGGCAATTGGTTTAGTTATTCTTAATTTAGTTATTTTCAATTTTTGGGCAATTAATCAAACATGTACTGCTTCAGATATGTGAATAATCTATTCATTTGTTCATTCATTTCAATAGCTAAGTACGAACACAAACAAAGATTGTTTCAATTGCTGACCCAAATGACAAAAGAATATTGAACATGAACTTGGGTTTTATCAATGAACAGCATGCTAGTCGAAGAGTTACAAGTTGACAAATTTTGGCTCAGACAGATTTTGCAGTTCAAAAGTAATACCAAACTAACATCCCCCATAATACAAACAAAAATTTTATAAATAGTTTAAACGTGTGTAAAATTGATGAGTTTGATTGGAAGAAAAAAACCGACGCCGCCAAAGTTCTCATTTTGCGGGAACTTCACGTTTCAGATTTTTGAAAGGAGTAATTGGACTGGACTGCTATCAAAAAAAGCTTAGAAGTTCTGAGTTTTGAGTTTTCGTTTCAATTTGTGACGGAATACTTATGCTTCGTGTTTTTTTTTCAGACCAATTTCAACTTTTCAATAGAATGTTTTGATAAAAATTTCTTTAACATCTGACGATATTAATATCCTGAGCTCAAAAAAAATTGGTTTCGTTTTTGTATCAAATCATTTACGGCCTAATTCTGCCAAATAAATTAATTCGTGAGACATAGATCATATTTACAACAAAGAAAGTTTGAAAAAAATTTAAGTCGATAAAGATGTTCAAGTATAAAAAAATTACTGCCGGTACCTTAAAAGGTATTAGTATCACTCAGAACGTTGCTCTGATTCAAGCAACCTTGCAAAAAACCCGGGTTGACTACCATACACCAAACTTGCTTATCATACAGTTTCATCCCTCAAGTGTATGGAAGAAATGCTTATCATGCAATTCCCATATCTTGAAGCTGTATTATAGGCAAAGTTTTTCAAGTTATTTTGAAGTTGCCCCAGGAAAAAAATATATATTTTTTTCAACCTCAAAACGAAGTTTGAACTCCAATATTTTTTTTTATTTTTCTAATTTCCTGTGTACACAACGCATCCTGGATACACAAATATATATTTTTTTCAACCTCAAAACGAAGTTTGAACTCAAATAATTTTTTTTATTTTTCTAATATCCTGTGTACACAACGCATTCCTGGATACACAAATATATTGTTACATGCCTTCGTTTACGAACACGACTCAAAAAATTTCAGAAGTTAAAATTCCAAAAGAAGAAGTTTTTTTTTGGTTTATGGAAAAAGCTTGTCATACAATTTTCATATATGAAATAATGTTTGTCAAATAGATTTTAAAATTTTTTTAACGTATGGAATTGTATGGAAAGGTATGATAAGATAATTTTCAATATTCGAAATTGTTTGATGAAAAGTTTTGGTCAACTTGTCATCTTATTAGTGATTGATTCCAATTGACCTAGAGCTGCAGAAACGCCATTGCGGTGTTGCAGTTTTGCTGGTTTGTAACTTAGGCAAACTGGGCGTGAGGTGGTGAGAATCTAGCTAATTATATTTAATTTAGTATAACTTTTTTCTCCCGGATTGACTTACCAGGAACAAGCATCGATGAAAAATTTATAATCCAGTCTTGAGAAAATTTTCGTGAATGACTCCATTTTAATTCATAAGTCGATGTCTTAACGCATTTTTCATGGTCATTCATAGATAAATTAGTGATGATTTTTGATACTATAGCACTAGAAAAATTAAAATTTTTAAAATATATCGCTAAATGGTCGCATAACCTTTCGCATTTTGGTAGCGTTACATGTAATTATATTTTGTCTATACCAATCAGAACAGTATAATCTTTAAAAAAAAATTTATTTATAAGTTTTTTTTGATATTGCTCAACTTTTTGGATTTACTTTCGTTTTATGGATTGACTTGGGGGACAAATCCAACCCACAGACTCCTTATCCCACATTTTTACATCTCACACCTCTGGATATTTGACTTTTGAACCCCTTCAAGTTTACTTTGAAGCGGGAACAGTGCCATGAGAATTGATAAACTCGCGAGAAGCGAACAAAACTAATCACAGGTGCTACAATTAAGACCAACCAGGTTTTACAGCAGAGCAAATGGCTAGACGTCCAGCAAATGGAAAATCCTGTAAGGTCTGTCAAAAATGGGACATTTTGATCGTACCTCCAGGGTTAAAAAATTAGGTATAGAAGATGGAGAGCAGTCGGAAAGGACAGGAGAATCAGAAGCTCGACGATCATGTGAGGGAGGAGACCACACGTCGCATTACGAAAGCCTGGTCGGATCGGATAATCCACCGCAGTAGGGGCAATACGGTCTGCACAAGCGAAGCGAAAAACCGAAATGAAGTAGCGGGCGAACAACTCCCATTAGAATTAACGGACAAGAAACTTAGCTGTGGATGAAAAGTTTTTCTCAGATATCCATATTTAAAATAGGAGAAATGAGAATGACTTCGGGGTCCAGCAAACTTGTCGATAGGTGAATCCTCAGAATCCCCCGGTAACATCGCAGAAAAAAATGGACGTGGAAATAAACAAACTTCTAAAACAAAAACATATCAAACAACTAGAGGATTGCTCGGATAGTTTTTTCGTCTCGCCGACGGTAATATTAGTAGATATCAAGAGAACTGAACAAACAAAAAGAAGAAAAAAATGAACGCCAAAAGTACAACAACTAATGACAAAAACTGGACAACGAAAATCTATTCACTAAAATTGAAGAACATTTCAGGACGATGAATCTAATCTTTCATGCGAGCAAGTAACTATCAGCTTACATACCAACTTACATTGCACTCTTTATATTCTTTAACAGGGGACTAATCAACCGGGCGAAGGTAATACACAGAGCTAGCTGAAGCTGTGACGGATCTCCCCTGGATCGTCGAACTCTAACTCTTCTGCCCTTGGATTATTCCAGTTGGAGTGCTCTTAAGTGCTCTCCTTAACCTTTACCTAGTCCTTTTTCAATTTTAGGTATGTTTTTAAAGTCCCACTTTATTCCTCAGTTACTCCTTTCATGGTGGTAGGCCAACAAGCCGAAGTGCCAACAAGCCGATTAACTGAGCATCAACTATATGGGTATTTCAAAAAATTGTTTTCATTGTTTCTTAAAGATAATGGAGATCTTCTAGATTTATTTTTTTGAATCATCAAGTCGGATATTATCTCGCAACTTCTGTCATAGGTTTTTTCATGATCCTTGGTGGGTTTGATTTGTACATACGGTTTATTATTTACCTGTCTGTATAATATTACTCTCCTAAATAAACTATTGCATCTATTGAAAGCCGAAAAAGGATAACCATTCCAACAAGCCGAAAATTAATGTTGTTATGCATCATAACAACAGATTCTCGGTGTTGTTATGCACTATATACGTAATTCTGATGTAATTTACGTTATTCTGATGCCACTCCGGCTTCAAGCGATGGCCGCTTGTAGACATGGCCGTTTGTTGATTATCCGCCCCTTTTATAGCATCTACCTTCTCTCCCTTGGAACGTTTTCCTTTTCTTTGGTCTGATCCATTTCCCGTTTGTCGATTGCTTCGAAATCCTCATCTGACTGTTCTGTTTTTATTTGAAAGGGGGCTCCCGCGAAACCGGTCAATTTCGTCGCTGCCGTAGTTGTAAAATTTGAATTAAGATGGATGTGGTTAACTCATAGAGTAATTTCGGATAGGGTACACGGTCTGCTCGTCACGCTATCTTATTTTCGGCCGGATAGATTCATGCAACTTCTTAGTCTAATACCGATCCTAATCTTACTCTTATATCTACTAGTCTCAGGGTGTTTAACTAGTCTCTGCTAGGCTCAATAGATCTAGAGTATACTGGCTTATTGCGGCAGCTGAAGTTCTCTTGGAGAGGCAACTAATTTCTAAGTTAAATTCAAATCTCTCTGTTGCTGAAATTACAAGTAATTTCAGCACTTACAAATAAGTGGGTTGTTAGTTAGATGGATTATGATTGGTTAATATTAAATATTTTACAGTAGTAAAATATTTAATTTATCCAATAATAAAATGTAGTTTAGATCAAGTTCCACACATCCGGGGATTACAGAGTTTTTTAGAACTATGTTTCTGCAATTTGAAGGATGGATGATGAACGTTGGTATTTGGCGAACATCATTTTCTTATCCGGTTCCTCTTGGAGAAGAACGTTCCAGGACGCTGGAATTATGGATAGGAAATTGTTATGTCGTCATTCGACAACGACTGTGATCCCCAATGAAATCAATCCGATTTCGAAATGGTTTGCTATGACAGTTTTTTCTGTATTATGTAGAGAACTTGTTTTGTGTGCAATCTCGTCTGGGAATGGCGTGAAGATCGTGTGTGGAAGGGATGCCTTGTAACTCGGATCTGTACGTATACTTGATCATCGAGGTGGTCATTGTTCTAGTTCAGTAAAGTCCTTTTCTGCGAAGTCAAATCGTACTCTAAATCCTTTGAGTTGTGATTGTGGACGGCATGTCGGTTGTGCTTAGCCATTCTTTGTTCGAGTGTAATGCGATCATCTAGTCTTTAGATGTTCGTCTTTGTTGTTGTGTATTGATCTATATACTGCAAAGTATGACTTTTATTTTATAAAATTATGTTAATTCAATTTTTTAATCATGATTTTAGTTAGTTGTTTTCACAAAAGCGTTTTGTTTTAGTTTGGTTACTTTGAAGAGTTACTCACCCTTGAGTACCTCCTATTAAAAACAGGAATGTGGTCACAAAGCGTGGATGTAGCGCGGTGGGTTAGGCCGGCTATAGAGCATGCTCAGGACTTCCTCTCAGGTGGGTTAGGCCAGTGTGGGAGTATGATTTCATGCTGTTTCTTTGAGAGGTCCTGTTATGTGATAACGTTTTATGTTGGGTTTATGTTGGTCTTTCTTATGTTACTTTGGTTGTGTCCTTTTTTCAAAAATCAAATTGTTTTTGGTATGGTTTGTCTTGCGACTTTTTTGTGTTTTATGAGTTCTTTCTTAGACTTTATAATAGTCTTCAAAAGAATAAATTATCCAGTTTTAAACTGGGTTAATCCGGTTTGGGTACTGTTGGTTTGCTTTTCTTAGTCATGCTGTTATTTTATGATTTGTGGTGTTTAGTAAGCTGCGTTGGTTAGTTTGGTTTAGTAAATAATT